AAAGCTTTTTGGAAGGAGTTTTTGCAGGCAAAATCACTGAAAGATGGCAAACGTTGGAATAGAATAAAATCATGGTTTTGAATGTATCTAATATCTCAATTCTTAACACTGTATCACATGCGTTTCCATAAATGAGCAAATGTTCGCAAATTTGTGCGACTTTCTTATGACCGAATACGACGAGAGATGCTCTTAAACTCTTCTAAATTCGATTCTGACAACTTCATAAAGTGTTACTTACATAAATCCACTCAAATTTTTGACCATGACAATATGATGTAATTCAAATGAGTGTACTCGAAGAAGGTTTGTAAAGGGAAAAACGCATAGATCGCTCATTCCATGAGTGCAGTCTGATAATCAACAGCATATAATATGTGTGAATTTATCAGTACTATAGCAAGAAAACACCTTGGTTTGAAGAGTTTATGTGCCGTGGTGAGCAAGCTTAGTTGCATGATCAGTATTTGGTACGAATACTAATAGAAAGTAAGAATAGTAATAAGAACGATATTGATAATACGATCAAAAATTGAAATCATCTCGAGAGTTGAAGTTTTGAAAAAATAGGGAGAGTAATGACGGGATGTTGTAACATGCGTGCAGAGAGTAGATTACATGTGTGGGTAGGATATGTGCTTGAAATGAGTATAATCGAATGTGTGATGAAGTGGTTTATTTTGTGTTTGCTGTTGGGCATTCTCATTCTCAGTAGCATACACATACGAGTAACTGGTGAGTTCACGTTTGAGCGTGACAGAATCGTTCTGAATGATGACAGATGACTGGAGATGGTATGTCTCCAGGCGTGTACCACGCGTAGTAACGTTACCACTTTACGTAACTTCATTCGTCCAGTTAATGCAGCCTCTGAGCTCCGTGCGCCTCGTAGATGCGCCATTATCACGCCTTCATTTATGCGCGATCACCCCGTTGTTTCATTACGGTATTCACATAGATTTTTATAACGCACATTTATTTGCACAACTTATTTGTGATTTACAGAGAACATTTCATAGCTAGAACAGAAATTTCGAGGATAGATTTATTTTCTTTTGGAACTTATTTTAAATGATGTTGGATGTTGTTTAAGCTTGTTGATCTGTGAGCACAATGCTCGATTTGCGAACTGTTAATCCGTGATTTCGTTTTGATGAACCTTTCAGAACTGGGATACCACCTATCGCAATGAAGGTATGGTATGTTTGACAGGAGCTTAGGGAAATTCATTGTTGCCATTCATTTCAATCTCTTCTGCTCATCAAATAAAATCTAGGTAATTGGTTCTAGGAGAAGACACAGTCAGAAGAGAGGCGCAGTTGATCTGGGATCAACGACTATGGCGTTGCTGCATCGTTTAAGAGTGTCGTTAGAATGCTGTGTCTTTTCGCCAGGAAATGAAAGCAGGAAGTGACTGCTAACCTTGTGATGTAACCGACGATATGCTCAGTTGATGTCGAAGTGAATTTCCTTGGAGACTTCGTACGATCGATCGTGCCGTTGTGCTACTGTCAATTGCTTGGCGTGCACGCATCACTTTACGTTGATACAGATCACTCATCGGATCAGAGTGCATCAGATCTGATCAATTTGTTAATCTTTACTCAATTCCGCATCATCACTATCA